GGTGAAACCCTGCCTGTACTAAAATACAAAACATTAGCCAGGAGTGGTGGTGTTCACCTGTAGTCCCAGCTACTCAGGAGACTGAGGCAGAAGAATCACTTGAACCCGGGAGGCAGAGGTTACAGTGAGCCAAGATCATGCCATTGCACTCCAGCCTGGCGACAGAGTGAGACTCCATTTCAAAAAAAAAAAAAAATTAAAAATTAAAAAATAATAAAAATCATCCAATTAAACCCTCACAAGTTTGAATATAGCTGTTAAGATCCCCAAGCTGAAAGAAATGAAAATAAATAAAATTAAACTCAAAGAAGTAAACAACTTACATGCAAATTCACAGAGAAAATGGGAAAACTCTAGTCAGTACAACTTCAAACCCTAGGATCTTTCCCATATATTAGTTGATCAGTGAAGCAACAGGATTATTTCTTGATTAAAGCTTTACTCTTAAAATATTTACTGAGTTACTACTTCTACTACCACCACTAAATTTTTATTTGTTTATTTACTTTAAACGGAGTCTCCCCCTTTGTCATCCAGGCTGGAGTACAGTGGCGCAATCTCAGCTCACTGCAACCTCTGTCTCCCAGGTTCAAGCGAATCTCGCACCGCGATTCTTGGCAAGTAGCTGGATTACAGGCGCCCTCCACCAAGCCCAGCTAATTTTTGTATTTTTAGTAGAGACAGGGTTTTACCATGTTGGCCAGGCTGGTGTGGAACTCCCAATCTCAGGTGATCCACCTGCCTCAGCCTCCCAAAGTGGCAAAATTACAGGTGTGAACCACAGTGCCCAGCCACCGCCACTAATTTTTAATACTCACAACAACAAATGATATATTATTTCAATTTTCCACCAAAAATAATCATCTTCCAAAAAACAAAGAGCCCATATTGTAAAATGGATTATGTGGCCAGGCGCAGTGGCTCACACCTACAATCCCAGCACTTTGGGAGGCCAAGGCAGGTGGATCACCTGAGGTCAGGAGCTCAAGACCAGCGTGGCCAACACGGTAAAACCTTGTCCCTATTAAAAATACAAAAATTAGCCAGGCATGGTGGCATACGCCTGTAGTCCCAGCTACTTGAGAGAATCACTTGAACTTGGGAGGGCGGAGGTTGCAGTGAACCAAGATCATGCCACTGCACTCCAGCCTGGGCAACAGAGCAAGACTCCATCTCAAAAACAAATAAAATAAAATGGATTATGGATAATGATTTCTCTGTTATTTTATATTATTTTTTGAGACAGGGTCTCACTCTGTCGCCCAGGTTGGAGTGGCACAATCTCAGCTCAGTGTAACCTCCACCTCCAGGCTTCAAGTAAATCTCCTGCCTCAGCCTCCCAAGTAACTGGGACTATAGGCAAACACCCCCACGCCCGACTAATTTTTGTATTTTTTGGTAAAGAAGGGGTTTCACCAAGTTGGCCAGGCTGGTCTCGAACTCCTGACCTCTAGTGATCCGCCCACCATGGCCTCCCAAAGTGCTGGGATTACAGGTGTGAGCCACCACAACAGGCCTCTCTGTATTAAGGATGTACTGATAAGAAGGGATATTAAGAGCTGAAGAGCATTTTAAGAGACCAAAAGCAGTATTTCTTTTTCTTTTGTTTAAAAATGCGACTATGAGGTACTGTTTAAAAATAAGGTTATGGGGTGCTGTCAGGATGATATCAGAGATATATCTGGAATTCAGAAGAAATCTGACAGTTTTTCATCATGTTTTGTGGAACTTACCCAATCTAATCAGTAAAGTTGGGTCCTATTCTTTCGGTGCCCATCTATGCTTCTCTCCATTAGTCATGTCTTTACATGCCTTGCACTCCTGTACCAAGTAGGATGCTGGCTTATACAACCCTGAAGCCTCTACAAACTCTTAAGATACTAGGAATTCTGTTTGAAAATACTGAGTGAAACTGATTCCTTTCACTTACAATAATAAAAACTGACAGGTTTGTGGGCCAGCACTGAACACATGAAGAAGACAAGAGACTATAGCACAAATAGTGTTCTTAAAAGTGTAACAATAATCCTAAAGAATGTATCTGTTAAGCATAAACATTCCTCTCATCTTCATAACAAAAGAAAAAGGTATACAAAGGGGAAATGTTTTGTTTAAATTATTCAGGTTTGAAATATTTATGTTTGATAAATGCAGTATGAATATCAAAAGCCAAAAACTCAAAGATATAGGAAAGTCAGTTAATGAATTATTAATTATAATTCATAGTAATTTTTTCTTTTGAATCAATAATGACTGAACACCTAGCACTACACATTTGGTATTTTTGTTGTAATATATATATAGCATTTACTGTTGTAACTTTAATTTAAAAATAGATGAATAAGAAACAAACTCTTATGTCGTACAGACGTCTGGTTGATTTTACCTGACTTACTTTCTTCCCCTAAATTACCATTCTTACATTAAAGTTCTATGGGTTATGAAAAGAAAAAGTATCTCTGAAATAAAACTCAGTCAGAAAAGGTATCATAAGAAATCTTTTGAATTATCAAATACTATTGACTGCATTTTGAGAAGATACTCATTTCTTTTTCATTTTCAGGAAATGTTACTTTTTTAAAAAGTGCATCTCTACTACTAAACCTCATATTAGCCACTAAATTAACAAAAAAACTGTAGCATTTCCTCCTCAGGATGTCTTAAGACTGTTTCTATATTCTTTGCCAAAAAAGTTTTAGACAAACTTTTACAAGACATAAAGTCTCAAATAAAATACAGACAAGTAGATGATTAAATAAATCCTCTTCCCTTTTATCTTATACCATTGCTTTTTTAATCCAAAGTATTAAATAATTTTATTTTCCTTGCCTGAAAGACTAAAACTGTATATAAAATGCTGAGTAAAGTGCCTGATCCATCACTGGTACTCCATAAGTTAGTTCTCTTTTCTAATAATTAATGTCAAGATTCATTCTCCTAATGGTTTCCAGCATATTATATTATTGGGATAACAATTTTACTCCTTTTAAGGCTTACTGCTATATATAGCATGACTCCGGAACTTGGTATCATCTTATTTATACCAAATTGTTTCCTGTTGTTTTCACTGACATTTCTTGTTACCTGTCATTCTGGCAATAAATGCAACATTTGATTTTAATGTGTATTTGTTTGTGGCATTACATCATCTCTACATTTCTGGCCAAGTCTTGCTAAAACGCACGGACACACATGGGGGTGGGGTATAAAATAATGGCATTTCAAAACTAACCTATACCCTGGAGCCCCTGATCTATCAATTAATTTCTTTTTGAGACGGAGTCTCGCCCTGTTGCCCAGGTAGGGGTGCAGTGGCACGATCTTGGCTCACTGCAAGCTCTGCCTCCCAGGTTCATGCCATTCTCCTGCCTCAGCCTCCTGAGTAGCTGGGAGTACAGGAGCCTGCCACCACGCCCAGCTAATCTTGGTTTTGTATTTTTAGTAGACATGGAGTTTCACCATGTTAGCCAAGACGGTCTCAATCTCCTGACCTCGTGATCCGCCCTCCTCGGCCTCCCAAAGTGCTGGGATTATAGGCGTCAGTCGCAGCGCCTGGCCAATGATACGTATATTGTACAACAAATACTAATGGAACATGCCCAGAAATAAATGTCACATGTCATAAGGTTTGAAACATTTATTTTGAGGTAGAAAGGGTGATTATTTATTCTATGATTCTTAGCTGTGTTTCTATTGAAAGAATTTCACCTCATGAAGACAAGGCATCAGAATACTGATTCTCTCTTCTTCCTCCCTTGTTCTCACCACTGCTCATAAAGAACAACTACACTAGAATATGATCACACTTGATAGTTCTTCTTTGGGATAAAATTTGATGCCTTTCTGACATAAACATAACCTCTCATTCCACAAAAGGCATTACAATCTACAGTTGTTTTCAACATTTAAAATAAATATGCCTTGAGATGACAAAAAACTCAGAACGATAAAGCAGATGTTATTCCAATGTAGCACATTATCCTTATAGACCTGTTCACTATATAACAAGAGTAAATTATACCAGTAACTGCCGACAAATCAAAAATAAAATTCAACATTAAAATGTCTTTAATATTATAGCACAGGTATAAATAAGGTAATATTGTGAAATAAATGACTCATTTGTATTATATAAACTCCAAAGATGATCTGTGTGAAATGTTTATCTTAGGTTTAACAAAAAATTTCCAGGTATACTTAAAGAGTAATTTTTTCAAATCAAATATTACCCTCACTTCATCTGTCCTCTTATTCAGAGAAGATATTCCATATGGTGATTTTTCTAAATAACAGTTTATCTCAATGCCCAAACTCATTTTACTTAAGCCATTTTGGATAGAAGTGGTCTTAATTCTGTCTCATACCTCCCCAGCAGTTTAAATAGTACACAGTATACTGAACCTAATGTAAGCCCTTGTTAATGGCTAAGGCCTATCAAGTTGACTACATTAGGGCACTGTGGTATATTTAAACCAGCAATAGCCTCAGGGGCACAAACAAACATGAAGCAATTTGCTCCTATTCTAAATGGCCCCATAATGACACGTTCTTATATCTGCATTTTAAGAGTTCTCCTGTCCCTTATTAAAAACCCTCTTATAAAAACAAACCAACAAACAAAAAAACAAACACTCATCACTGTTTCTAAGGTGTCCTTTACTCATCTGCTAAATCACTGCTTCTAGATTATGGCTGGTAAATCACACAATTATGCAGGTAGTAATTCTATCAAGAGCAAGAATAACACCCTAGGCTGACAGTCTCCATTTAAAAAGGCCCACCAGTTTAGTACACAGTGTGACTTTCAGTGTAGCCACTCAGAGGGCATTTTCAATTGCTTCCTAGATAGTGATTATACCAGATAGTTGTGTTTTCTGGGGAAAATAACTGACAAATAAAGGTTTACTATACAGCAATTATTCTTTGTATCTTCTTGTCCAATATTATCTTTTTAAAATGTCACCATTAGTAAACAAAATCTATAATATAATCAGACTTACCTGAGGCACGCCTTGTGAATCGGTTTATTACTGGAGCTGAAAGAAAAAGCAGAATAATATGATTAGAATAAAAGTCTAATTTTCCCTGAAAAGGCTCAAATTGGTAAATGATCTTATAATTTAACTAAAGAAAAAGATGAATAAATAAGAGGAAACACCATAAATATACAAAAATATTGAAATTCATTAATAATCAAATAAATATAAATTGAAATCAATATTTAACCTATTAAATTAGCACTTTAAAAGATCCCTAGTTATAGACAGCTAAAATTACTTACGTGGGGACCATATAAAGAGATACAATACCTTTAAAAAACAATTTGGCAATTACATCAAGTACTATAAAAGATTTGTGTCACTTAATAGGGTAAATCTACTAGAGATTTAACCTGAAGTACTACTACTAGTGAAGGAAAGAGCAATGTATGAATAAATCTATTCGGCAGCATCATTTTTTAAATGATAAAATTACAAAACACAACTGAAATTGCTCATGTATGTTGAAATCATCTTTAGCTGAAGGATAGTATATCCTTGAAAGTCTCAGATTTATAGTTCTGACGATTTTTGTGCAATCCAAATGTTCATAACACGCAAATCTGTCCACTGAAGGCTGCAGTCTCAGGCTGGTGTGCGCACCACTTAGCTGGCAAGCCTACCAACTGCCCACTCCTCCGACTCAACTCAGCTCTGTTTCTTCTTGGTTTTGATGACATAGTTATCTCAAGAACCGAGGTTTTTAAAAACATTTCTTTCTCAAGAGAAGCAGGTACATTTCTGGTTCATTTTATATAAAGGAAGGACATAATGTACTATGCAGTATATTTTGGTAACAGAATGTCATAAGTCTACTTCAATACTTTTAGAAGAGTAATTATGAAATTTGTTTACACTATGGAAACATTAGGTCAAGTAAAAAAAGACAAAATTTTTATCAGCAGTATGATTGCACTGCATGAAAAATATGTATGCACAGGAACAAGTACTATAATAAAACTATGTCAGATGTGTAGTGCATTAATCCTGACAATCATGCTATCAAATATTAGCATCTTTGGCCAGGTGCGGTGGCTCACGTCTGTAATCCCAACACTTTGGGAGGTCGAGGTGAGCAGATCACCTGAGGTCAGGAGTTTGAGACCAGCCTGGCCAACATGGGGAAACTCCATTTCTACTAAAAACTACAAAAATTAGCCCGGCATGGTGGCAGGTGCCTGTAATCCCAGCTACTTGGGAGGCTGGGGCAGGAGAATCACTTGAACCCGGGAGGCAGAGGTTGCAGTGAGCCGAGATCGCTACACTCCAGGCTGGCTGACACAATGAAACTCAGTTGCAAAAAAAAAAAAAAAAAAAAATCAGCATCTTCATACAACTGATGACTACATTTTACAGTAAGTCTCAGAGAAATCTATTAATTTGTTTTAGATCACACAGTCACTCTGCATCAGAGCTGGAGAATCTGAATTTACGAGTATCTTGCATCAAAACGCTGCCTCAGAGAGAACAGAAAATGAAAATACAGATTCCTGAAATCATACAGTAAGAGGTGAATATTATCTTCCTTTGTGATCTTCATTACAATTAAAGATTAACTTTGTGAAATTCATAAACCCAATTATCAAGATATTATCATTTATAACAAAATTACATCCTCCAAAGTGACTGAAAGACATACAATATTTACTATTTATATACCACAATACTTTAGTCATATATTTGCACAGTCACAAATTACGTACATTAAAAACTTGCATCAGGTAAATTGTGTTATGTATATCTTACTACACATATACACAAAGGCCCATCAGTTTTCAAACCCCTTTTTTGCAACGATTAAAGTTAGTCTAAAGAGTGCCTCCCCAGCAAGCTACAAGGACAGTGAACGGAAACAAAATGCAAAAAAATGCAACCACAGGAATGCAGAACAGAGAGTGCAAGCAGATACAGGCAAGATAAAGGTTTAAAAATTTCTCTTAGCCTTGGGGCAAAAATACAGTAGACATTCTCTGCCCCCCTGCCCCCTCCAGCCTCTCTAGATGATGAAGCCACAAGACTATGGGCTCCTGGTTTGAAAGGTCGAGAAGTCTTTGTTTTCCTGGGGTCCTTAGGTTTGTGTGTCTTTCTGAAGTGTTTAAGGCAGAGGTTTTCCACAAAGGTGGCATCGCTATCTAGAAGATGTTTTCTAAATTTGTGGGGGCAATTTTGATTGTCACAGTAATTCAGAGGACACCCTTCCTTGGCTTTTGTCAGGCAAACTCCACAACAATCCTGCACAACAAAGAACTGTCCTGCATCCTACAACTTTTGTCCTGCATGACTTTTAAAACATCCCACTGGGCATTCACATTGGCAAAAAAAAAAAAAAGTCCATTTATAACCATCTGGGCCTAAATCCTAATACAGCTCTTTATATACACATGGCTCATTTATGCAGCTTTAATATACATCAAATTTTCTACAACACAATGACAACATAAATCAAATTTGGGTTTTTTTGTGTGTTTTGTTTCTTGCTTTGTTTGGAATTTTACTAATAGATGTTCACCATTTCAGAAAACCATGTGACTACTACAGTGCTCCTTATGGTATTTGGATTGCTAGTACAATGCTTTTTCATCAGACTCCGTTTGCAGCTTTTATAGAGCCTCTACATCTAGGTGGGACAATCTAACTGCATTGTCTTCTTGAGTACATGTTGAAGCACATACCTACTGAAATACATTTTACTTGCTATAAATTATCTTACTTTATTTCTCCTTGATATTTTTGCTAGACATTCTGTCAATTTCTAAATTGTGGGTATAAAGGTCTATGATTTTCATTTCCCGACAGTTAATGGGGCATGGGATTGGACAGTTAAGAAAATGGGTGCACCAAGCAAGTGGTATGCAGTAGTTAAGGTAAACATTGGGTTTTGAGAACAATCATCAAAAATCCAATCTCTCATACCCATAGCCCTCCTTTCCACTTGCAGGGATGAAACACAAATGTTTCCTGTACAAACTTTCAGCAAGTTAATGGTCACCTTCACCATTTTTCCAAGTTTTTTAGTCTAATTACCAAAATAGAGAAGGCTGGGAATCAGGGTGGAGGCTTTGCTGGAAACAAAGAAATGTGCATCCGGCCAAGCTATGCCTGGTCTTCTCTCTCAGGAACCTAAGTCAGGGAAGGTGAGCAGGAAGGTGAGCATGGGCACCGCCAACATTCCGACCTTCCACATCACTGGCAGGGAGGGGGTGAGGCGTGGGGTATGGACAGACCACCCAACTGGCAGACAGGAGCCTTGGGCTCTAATACTGGCCACACCACCTTCTGATGGCATAGATGAACCATGTAACCTTGACTTAAATTTTCAACTTGTGATATATGGAAGCAAGATCTGCCCTCCTTCTTTCAGGCGGTTTTTCTGAAGAAAAAAACCTGGCCAGACGTGGTGGCCCACGCCTGTAATCCCAGCACTTAGGGATGCCGAGGTGGGCAGATCACCTGAGGTCAGGAGTTCAAGACCAGCCGGGCCAACATGGAGAAACTCCATCTCTATCCTAAAACTTTTTTTAAAAAATTAGCCGGGCATAGTGGTGGGCACCTGTAATCCCAGCTGCTCAGGAGGCTGAGGCAAAAGAATTGCTTGAACCCAGGAGTCGGAAGTTGCAGTGAGTGGAGATCGCACCACTGCACTCCAGCCTGGGCAACAGAGCAGGACTCCGTCTCAAAAACAAAAAAACATAAACATCTTTGGAGGTACCTGTCAATTATAAATTCCTATTCAAATGTAAGAGACTGACGCTTATTTAGTGTAAACTAATATTACCACTTTTTAAATATACAAAATAAACAGCAATACAAATTTCCAAAAAATGTTAACAGATGAAGGTGTTTTAAAATGTGACAAGTCAAATTAAATTTTCTCGGATTTTTGGTTTTTACCTTTAGATTTTCTTATTCTGCGGATATTCGGTGAATACACACACACACACAGACACACACACACACACCCCCCCACACACACCCACACAGAAAGAGAGAAAACTAGAGACTAGGATAGAAGGGAAAAAATAGGAAATATATTACATGCCTGGAGAAATAAACAATATGATTTAAGAGCAGAGTAAAATCCTAGCATTTCTAAGAGAATATAACCTAAGATCTTAGTGAATCCCCAAGGAAAAAAGACACAAATATTTATATAAGGTTTGACTTTCTCCCCAACACTACTGCAGTGGAACACTGAGTCCTATGTTCCTATGAATATCTTTGTGCTTGTATAACCAGAGATCTCTTCAGTTGCCAAACTATATTCCACTAGATTCGTTTAGTTCCTACGCTCCCAAGAAACCTAGAAGTGTAACTGATTCAAGTCTTCTTTAATCCTTCAGTGTCCTTACAAGCAAAATCCTCCATTACTTTGGATAAACTGAAGGAGTCTCTCTATCTCAGCAGTGAAAACAGCCTCCCAAACCTGCTGGACTGAGTTCTGCACCAGGCCAGCAGGAACTGCTTGTCTGCTCACCTCTTCATGCCCAAAACCTATCACAGTGCCTGGTAGATAAAGGTGCTGAGTAAATAGCTGCAGAATGCATCAATAAACTCTGCAAGGAAGCAGAGCAAGTCTCCCTGTCCCCACTAATTTTGTTGCTGTATTGAGTGTGGATGCTAGGCACTGGAATTGTAACAGAGTCCCTACCCTTGAAGAACTTATTAAGTCTAGTTGTATTTTCAAATACAATGGCTTCAAAGACTTATACCCTGCAACTAGATACCTAATTTAGAAAAATGTAGGCGAATGAGAAATCCAGTAGAAGACTAAAAAACCTAAGATAATCTATGAAACTAAAAGTCAAGTTTATAGCAGTACAGACAGTTTGCATCTCTGAGCATACTGCTGGGAGAGAAACTCCAAGTTAAAGAAACAAGAGCCCTGAGAGCTGTGATCTGCAGTCATAAACACACACACACACACACACACATATACACACCGAGCAAACAAAAATAAAAAACAAACTATAAACTACTCTATCTACACTGTAGCTGCG